TATATATATATTTGTATTATATATTTATTTATTACATTTATTATATATTTCCGTTTTCTTTTAATATTTACAGAAATATTAGAAATTTTATCACACGTGTCTAGTTTCATATTTAATATCTAGGAAACTTTAATCGAGACTCTAGCTGTATGTATTTCTATTTTATCTTGATCCACCCGATATATACATTGTAGTATGAAAAATTACTCTCCGACGAAATAATGTAATTTAATGGTACTTTACTATTTCTATACGGACGCGTAGCTTCACAGACGGATTATCAACAATCGAGGTCATCAACACACAGGTCGAGATATCGAAGTGGGGTGTAATAAATGCTCCACACGCGCGCGCAAACTATTTCACTGTCAATTACCAGCTGATGGATCACAAGCCCTGTTTCGATTCGCCGAGACGAATCGCTCGAACCTGTATACTACCTACCTACCTACCTACCTACCTATCCTATATCGTATCTTGAAAAGTCGACTACATTCTGGGTCGATCGTCGCTTCGATACGAAAGGGGAAGAGAAAGAGAAAAAGAGTGAGTGGGTGGAAAATGTCAGTAAAGTGTCGCTGTCCGACGAAAAACGCGAGAAAGTGGTCGGTATTCTTCCATCTGGAGCGGACAGCTCGAGCATATATATATATATATATATATAAAAGAAGGGGCGAATGGGTATTGGTAAATGGTCCGTGGTGACGAGGGCTGCTGGGCTTCCATCGTGGAAGAGCGACAGGAGCATTGAGGCGAGGAGAGGGAAGTCAAAGGGGGCTGGAAACGGTGAAATACCATTCATTCACCGGAAGCCTTCCGTATAACTTTCGCGATCATCAACGGAGGAATGCTTATAGGATTCTCTCATATATAGAGGGTGCGCCATTTTCGCTAAACATCATATAAAAGGATTCCTCGATCAATTTTTAATCGATATTTTCTTGAATTTTACCGATCGTCACAGAATACTTAATTGTCCTTGCATGTAAGAGATTATTATTTATATATACAGTACAGAAATAAAAATTTTGCTAAAATTATATATAAACTGTAGTAAAAGTAAGATTTTATTTGCACTTTTCTGAAATTTAATTTAGTCTTTTATAATCCTTATAAAATATCTATGAAAAGTAATTGTACGTCCACGATATTGCTTGGAATAAGTTGACGCCGGATCGGTCGAATACTTCGCAGATGAAAGGCGGCAGGATGAATGTAGGACACTCCGTATATAACGACTGCCTTTCGCCTTTGCAATTTCGTTCCATTAGCGCGTCAAGCTCCCTTCATGCTTTATTGGCGGAAACCACGGCTTTTTGTCACGCACAGCGCGGCTTCCGACGCTTCGACAAAGTTAATAATCGTAAGCTTTTCGACAAATCCCGAAACGCTGTCAAGTTATTTCTGTCGTTCGACGTTTCTCCTGGAGACGATTAATTGAACATATCATGGCGGAAGTTTTGCGCGTTTTTTGAATGAAATTTGATATATTTGAACATAAATTCTGACATAAATTTCCGATTTTAATCTTTCAATTTTATTTAAGATATCAAATAAAAGTATTCAAGAGAATTCTCGAATAGATCTCGACAGATACCATTTTTCGATCTACATTATAGAGGAATCAATAAAAGTATTTATGTAACAAAATAAAATTTTAGCTGATTGCAATTTTGAGATTTTATTCTACGGCTTAATATAAACCATTACTTTCTTTATTTTTGTAGAATATTGTCAGAAAAGAGAAACAAGTCGAGAATGAATCCTCTCGCGTCTTCCTCATTTGTTCTGTTTCCCTCGAAAAAAAAACCGCGTAATGATCGCACATTTCAAAGAAAATTGTATGCACGTTGCATGTATATGTATGTGTGTTATTGTGTGCGTCATTGTTACATTGAAACAAGCCGCCATCGCGTGTCGTAAATATACTTACACGCCGTGCCGCAAAGATACAGGCTACAAAGGAAGTTGGTGCAGGAAGGAAAGAAAGAAGGATGGAAACCGACGTCTTGGCTCGTTTTATGAATCTCCCTTCGAGCACCTTTAAAGGAACCATCACGCGGTTTTATTTCATTTTTTTTTTTTTTGCTTTCCTTTCTTTTTTTCCACAGAGCCTCTTTCGCGCGCTTTACCGAGACGGCGGGAGGCCTTATCAAAGGATATTTAAAAGTCGCAGCGACGATTCGAGGGAAAGTTTTTCCCTTAGAATCACGGAACAAAGCCAGCGGCCGCCGGTGAGGCGTGATCCTCTTAACGATATTTAACGGTTGCGGTCGGATTCGACGAATAAGAATAATTTCTCCGTCGCGTGATTGCTACGTTCGTGGTAAGCAGAGAGAAGACGAATCAATACGAATGCGTATATTTAAATTTAATACTTTTATTTTAAAATCACTACTGAATCTTAAAAGTGTGTATATATAAATCGTTGAGAAAATTTAGATACATATAATATTAATATCTAAATATGAAATTATAATATAAAGCTATTAATGAAAGACATGTCTTATTTATAATTTAACCCCTCCTCTCTTTCTCTCTCTCTCTCTCTCTCTCTCTCAGTCTCTCTCTTTCGCTCCTTCGAGGTAAACGAGCATCCTTAATAATGCACAAGACCGATTCTACTCTGGATCAAAGGATCCCTCCCGTTCGATCACCGCTAAGTTAAGCGGCTCAAGATGGATATGGAAATATAAAGATAATCAAGATATACGATGGAAATATGAAAGATATAAATAACATTTTTGACTCCTATTTTTTTCATAATTACAATGAAAATATAATACAATTGAATATAAAAAACGTGTTTCCATGGTATAATATATACCTATTGTCAGTTTTATCGCTGTATTATTTTTTTAAATTTTGAAGGCGGAATATCTACCTTGCTTAATCCGTTAAATCAGCTTGATTTTTTGTTAATTAGTATCTCAATTACATTGATACACTTTTTGAAAAGAGAAACGCAACGGTCAAAGGGCGGATGATTAAATTAGCTTCCCGAATGCGGAATTGGAAATTCCATCGGGTCACTTGGGTTAATTGTACGAACGCGTTCGTCCAATTTCTAATTCAATATACGTCGACTATGTACTTGGACTTCTCAGTACGCGTACACATTACATTTCGATGTAACCGAAAATGCGCGAGATGCGTATGGAAATCATATTCACGTCGACGTTTTAATTATTTCAACTGAATAATTGATTAAAATTTCTTTATATTTCGCTTCAGGATTTGACAGAAAAATTAATATTTAAAATTTTTATCTGTCGTATTTTAATTTCGCCATCACTCCACAAATATAAGATTACATATACAAATGCTTTTGCTAGGCAAAAAAAATTAATCCATTTTAATCATTTTTTGCAAATCGCAATTTTATGTCATTTTATGTATTTTAGGAGAATCAATATTGGAATTTATACATATAACGTTATACGCACTACATGTATAATATATATAATGTATATATGTACATTACATTCATATATTACGTATAACAATATAATACTAGATTGTAAAGATTATATTATATGTTCCGATATCACATTTTATCACAGAATATTAGCAAATATCGTGTTATGTTTTATTATGTTATATAATACTATAATATTACATATTTCTCTTGTGGATATTAGGTAACTGTGGATCTGGGGAAGGATGCGGAGTTTCAGTGTTCCGTCACTGGTCAACCACATCCGGTAATCTCGTGGGCAAAGGATGGTCTTCCTATACGCGAAGGATCTTCGGGTAGGAACAAAATTACGGGTAACGATGGCTCGATGTTGCGAATATCTTCTATCGTGCGGGACGACAAAGGGATGTATCAGTGTTTCGCCAAAAACGACTACGAGATGGTGCAAGCCACGGCTGAATTGCGTTTGGGAGGTAAATTTATTCGATTTCTACATTTTTTACACGTTGCCCTTTTATTCGAATGCAACCCTTTATTCTCGTGAAAAAAAAATCGCTAATCTAAAAGCCTCTAATCCATTTTTAATGATTTTTATTATCATGAAACTTTAAATAGTATAAATCCTTGATAAATTGTGGTAAATTAAACCAGCATTAAAAAATTGAAATATAGTTAATCTTTAAAATATTATATTTTCTTATTAAATTAAACTAATTTATTAAACGCATGCGTTTATAGAGCGTAGTTAAGTAAATTAATTTTATTTATATATATTTGTTAAATTTAATTATATATAATTGTGCGAGATATATCTTGATAAGACACAATTCTTCTTTTAATTTCTGTTTTCTGCCCGAAACAAAAAAGCTGGGAGATACTCGAGATACGTTTATAGTAATATAACGGGTTTATTTTAAGTACCATACACGAAACTCGATGGTTTAAGCATAATCGCGGGCGTGCATCCGCACAACTTTAGCGAAGTTTTATGAAAGTTTCCTTCAGGAAATAATAAGGCTAAATTAAGACTATTAACGGTACACCATTAACCGGCGGGAGACTCTATTGCCAAAGTTTTGTCTCATCTTTTCCTCTTTTTCCTTCGACCTTCCGCAGTTTTTATCGACTGCTTTAAAATATAAGTCTGTTAAATATACAGACTCATTGTCCGGAAACCGCCTTATTAAGTTATTAAACGTTGTATTTTTTAATTAAGAATGACCTTCATCCGCGCGCGTGATGCAACGAGCTTTTATTATTCAATTACGTGCTAGCACGATGAGAAAAATGAAATGACGTAACAATCAATTTATATCAGAATATAGAGACAGCTAAAGGATAAATTTTTCGAAAATATTCCTTTATCTGTAACAATAATTGATATTTGTGCCAATACATGCGAAAATACAGTTATAAAGTGAATGAATTTTTATGGATAGAGAAAAGATGAATAAAATTAATTCATTTATTTTATGATTGTAATCCTTCAATTACTATACACACACAAACACACATACTAATATATTAATAATCTAAAAAAATATCTAAAAAAAGATATTAGTAATAAAAAGTGAAATTTGTTTTATTTTTCTGTGTTAATTACAAAGTTAGCTTTCGTGAAAAAAAAAAATATTATTTATCCCGAATCACGGATTAAATTCGAATTTGCCGTCCAAGAGTCGAAAGTTCCCGTATCTACGGGAGAAATGTTCGAAGGAGAGAATTTCTCAGAGACGATATATATCAGACCCTTTCTCCGCCTCTCGTTCTTGGGCCAAGCTCTCGTTCAATAGGTGCAATCGAATTCCTTCATCGCTGCAAGTCGATTGTTCTGAACTTGGGTGTTCCCGCGAGCGACATGCCCGTACATTCGCATACGGATCGAGCGACGAAAATAAGGGTGCAAGTTAGAGGAATATCCGACCGCACACCGAGGGGTTGACGGGGTGAAATGTGCGGGTTTCGAGGTAAAAAAAAAAAGGTGGGATGAAAGGGGAAGAAAAAGCGGAGAAAATGCTTAACGAGGGCGATGCATAATGGAGAAAGGGGAAATCCACTAGCCGGCGTGCCGTGAAATAAATACGTGCCATTTGTCTTAGTCAAAGGGGTGAGAGGGGGGAGGGAAGGAGAGGTTTCTCTCGGTCGACCGGAGAGAGAATGGAAAGAGAGAAGATGAAAGAGAGGGGGCGAAAAGACCGCGCGAGAATCGCGGGCGAAGACGGATGTGGCAACGTGGACGAATATTCCTTCGTCGTCGTCCTCGTCGTCGTTCTTCCACACGTACTCCTCGTCGTCTTTAAAACGGCGTTGGCAGAGACGATGGGCGGTGTTTTCGTGCGACATAATCCATTACCTTAAACGACCGCTGTCGCTTTCTCGACCGTCTTAAGATGCCCGTGCACACGAAGCGGGCGAGGACGGATGCGAACCTTCGGACCTTCGCATTAGTTTTCGCCGTCTCCGCGTCGTTTGGATTAAAAGGATTATAAATAGAAAGACACTCGGCTGGTATAGAATTAATTATTAGTTGAGGATATTCGAAGAAGTCACAGCAAGTGTAAAATTCGATAATTTATATATGTATATCAACTTTTAAAAAATCAAGTTTCATATTTAAAACATAAATTTTTATTGATTTGCACGAAAATTTTCATCTATAATGATTCCTCAAAATTTTGAATAAAGAAGAGAGAAAAAAGGAAAAATATTAAAGATGGAAAAAATCCAAAGCTTTTTTAGTGAGACTGTATATCTTTTATTTTAAGCGATTATTCTACTTTCGAATTATCGCCGACAAATTTTCAGGAAATATTATAATATTCCTTCTATTTTCTTCATGCGACTCTTGCTTCAAAAATAAGTACTTATATTACAATGTTAACCCGTCAAAATTAGACAGCGCTTTTTGTAACTGCATTTGATGAATCAGGGCATCGCGTATGAAATTTTGTAAACAAAATCCCTGAAATATTTTCTACTTTTTTGTATAAATGGAACATATAAAAATATTTTACTGATTGTTTTTATCGCAATTAAACGGTATCCCAGTGGAAAAAGCTGCTGGCAGCAGGTCGGAAAGTGGAATGATGAAACGTAGATCGCGCTTTAAATCGCCGGCAGCAGCAGCAGCAACACACACACATAGCCATCCGGCATTTTCCTTCTCCCTGCAAAAAAAAAAAAGAGTAGAAATAAATTATTTCAAGTAAAAAATACAAATGAATTTGCAGTATAAATCGCGACTTGCGCGACGATATTCTTATACCTGAGACACATTCCCGTAAACGTACATATTTATTGCGAGACGATTTATTTGATACGCGATTCGCCTGATGCGGGGGAATCGAGATATCCTCTACTGAGCAATTTACGAGTTCGTTTTAATGCGATTTGCAGTGCCGCGTATGTCGTCGTCGTCGGTATTATTGTCGTCGTCGCGATGTGAAATGCGAAATAATTGGACGGCCCGGATAAGCCTCTTACGTAACAAAAGAGGAGAATCAAAGAGGCGAGGTTCCATAACGATCACAAATCACGCTAGAGCACGGCGGGGGAAGGGGAGAGAAGAAGTAAAAGAGTACATACATATATATACATATATATATATGTTATACGAGAGAGGAAAAGATTTGTGTGTCGCCGACGGTATTTTTTTTCACATAAAGGATCCGCGCGGGAAAAATTAGGTGGGAAAACTGCTGATTTGCACGACGAAATAGGCACTTTTGAGAGCGAGCCAAATGAGAACGTAACTGAATCAGCATCGCCGCTAAAAGCAAGTTCTTTTCGCTGCGATTGTAATTCTCGACGCTGCCAATGTTATAAGAAAGTCGGGGAGAACGCGGGCTTATACATATTTACGTAAATCGAATATTGCGCTATTATCATAATTATATTATTGTGCTTTATGCATTACGGATCGAAAGAGAGAGAGAGAGAGAGAGAGAGAGAGAGAAACGTTTATTCGCTTGAGTAAGTCTTTAATGAGATTTAAAAGATCCACAATCGTATGAATTTCTGTTCAAAAAAAAATAAACTCAAGGCACAACACGGAGAATTTTTATAAAAATTCTCTACATTTTCTAAATATCTGTATGTGCAAATATTGTTTTTCAAGTATCATAAAATTGTTACGAAGCAAAATAGAATGTTTATTACAGTCTCTTAATGTTTATTTATAGTCTCAAAATTATTACCCTCTCTCGTTTCTATTTTTACAAAATTCGAACGAAAAGATAATTTTCGTCTTTTAGAGAAAGAATTAAAAATGACATTGTAGTAAAACGCTTTACTGTAATTTTGTATCGACTAATATATCGAATCGAGCATCCCTCCTGTTCTCTTTATCATCTTCCGCGCCCGCTTTATCCACCTTAATCGAAAGATACCGCTGCAGCATTCGATTAAAGCTAAAATCGCGCGGGTCAGCCTGAAAAAGGTCGGAAACTTTGTATGGAAAATGCTTTTAGTCTCTCTTAAAATAAGAACGAAATAATAATAACGTAGAATCTCATTGTTGCTTCAAGATATTGTTACCATCATACGTTCACATTCAAAAATTTGGGTTAATTAATTAATTACATCTAACGATATTCTCTGTCTCTTTCCGGATCACGGGCATAATACGAATGGAGAGGACAGCTTTAAATCGCGGTTACTACTAATCGACATTGATGTAATAGGGTCTCTGGCTAAGTTGTACGCTGATGGTCGGGGTTAACTAATCCCGGATTAGTGAGTCGCTGTGTCATATTAGATTAGAGTAACAGAGTGTAATATATACGTACGGAATACTCTAGTAACGCTATAGTTAATCCCTGAATCTATATTTATTTATAATCACGTAAAATAATCGATATTTAGTGTTTAAATTTTAATTATCGTACAAACATGTCAAGTAAAGAGATTTGATTATCACAGAAATACGGATTAATATAATAAGACTTAAATTTTGTAAGTTTCTTCTTTCCTTGCAACTTTAATGTTTTATTAGTAATTTTTTTACAAGTGTAACAATTTAAAAAATAAAAATTATATCTTTCTGAATTTTTGTTTCTAATTAATTTTTATGAAAATCTAATACAATCTATTAGTATCGTCTGTGCGTCAATAATTTTTTTTAGCGATATTTGCGATACCTTTTACGCGCCGGCAATATAACGCGATATTAAATGCCGGAACGTCAAATAATTTTCCGGTTTTGATTCTGGCAAACTTTCACTTTGTTGACAACGCATCGAATCGGCAGTCCAGTCGGGATAAATAACGAGGAATCGTGCTCGCGATGGATCGCGGGCAGCGTTCACTGTTTACATGCATTAATGACACAAAGCTCGATGTGTAATAGCCTGGCGCGAAGCGATTGCACGGACGTAGATGACGATGCGGGATCGCGTTGCCGAACCGTTGCTGCAAATCTGTCAAGGATTATATACCGATTCGCCGAGCGCATGAAAACGATACACACACGCATGATCCATCAAAACTAATGGGAACGCTTGCGTATCGATGGACGAGGAGCGTGTGATTCGATGATGGCCGAGAAAAAAATAAAAACGCTAAAAATGATGCCTTCTTCCGGAACAGGATTACATCTCAATGATTGGATTTTTTGAATTTGTTCGAAGTCGATTAACGTTTGTTACAAAAATATACGGAGAGGGATTCTAATAGCTTTCGAGTTTATAAACACGAACAAAAATAAAGAGCTTTTCCTTAAAGTAGGGCGCGTCTTTACATAATGGAACCAAAAGCCTGGAATTGCATAATAAAAAAAGAGCAGGTAGTGATTAATCATTACATGTATATAAATTATATGCTTGACTTTTTATTAGCTCAAACCATCATACCCATTCAGAAATTGAACGCATACGATTTTATATCTTCGCTTAACAAAATTGAAAGAATACATTCGAGCCGGAAAAGCAGATCGATCGTTGAAGAGATGGTACACGTTTCACTTTTTTTTTCACAAGCTTACATCTCTTCCAAAGTCAATCACTCTGCGTCCGTGTCTCGCGCGTTTGCTCGGTTTAAAAAACTCGACATTATTTACTTTATATACGTTATTTTACGCGCAAAAATCAACTTTGTTCCTCGCAAAATGTATCACTCGGCGATGTACACACTTCGGCCAATTCAATCTGCGAATTTCCATTCTCTCGGAAACGGAAGCGGCCGCGTCGACGAAAGTGCAATCGGTTGTCCGCGCTGACGACGATGCGCAACGCAACGATGTCAGTGTTCGCTCGACGAGATAATACGAGATAATGCGAGGTCCTCGCGAAACCCGGGGCGTGGCACGCGTGCAATGGCGCATTCTGATTTACGCCGTGAGCAAACAGTGCCGCGGCCCGAATCAACTACGCTACCCCCCCCCCCCCCCCCCCTTGCCTCCCTCCTCCC